GTACTACAATTTCCACTATCTCCGTGACCGATTACTCCATTGAGTATCACAATAAAAAAAAAATTACAAAAACAATGATACTACAATTTAAAAAAACAATAGATACTTTGCAATTTAAAGACTTTTCCACTAGAATGTATACTTTCTAGAAGAAAGTTTGAGGCCGGCCGAATCTACAACCAGAAATTATAGTGTACTTTGTTGTATTGTGAAAGTCCTTAAATCGCAAATATCCAGTAGTTACAGGACCAAATCTGCAACCGAGTAAAGTTACGGAATGAATAACGAGTACAATCGAAAGATATGAGACTAAAATTGCAATTATTCCGCTTCAATATTTAATAATCATTGGATCTTAATATAATTGGGTTCATCGGTCACTGGGGCATCAGATCGAATCATTGGAGCATTGATCACTAGGGTCAAAGTCACCACAAAATTGGCTATTAGGGCGTTGTGTGTAATATTATTAAGGGTATACTAGTCTTCTTAACCACCTTTTTGGAACTTGTACAACTAGTCGTCATATTATTATCCTTAATTTCTCCACTTAATTAGTCGATGGTCATGGACACTGGATGCACCGATGAAGAGTAACGTAGGTGAGAATGGAACTAACACCATTGGGAATTGGACATTGATAACGAGGAACTAATTATATTGAATCTAGTACACTGGTGCCTTCGACATGCCAAGTAATGGATCGACTCCTAATTACAAGAAGGCATCATGTACAAACATATAGACAAGGAATATCAGATTATCATCGGAATGTTAGATTATTGGGTATGCTTGATAGATGAGAATGTGATTAATGTATAACACATTTGCGTTTGGTTACAGTTAAGGGAATATCACATTAAGTTGTTTGGTTGAATGATATCTTATATTGCATATTTGGTGAATTACTTGAATGCCCTTTAAATATTTGTCTCTTAACACATTAAACTTATCACAACCTATAATTAAAGTAATTAAAAACTATAGAAAAATAAAACATCTTAGTAGTAATTAAAATAAAAACTAATTGAAGGAATTCTAAGCAAAATGTATTTAATTGCACAAATGACTAAGATTAGTGAACATTAGTAAATAATTTTAAGCAAAATATGTTTAATTGCATAAATGATAAAGATTAGTGAAAAAATATAGTATTAGCTTACAATATATAGTATAATTGTATAAATAATTTCAAGGAACTATAATGAAAAAAATACAATATAATTTTAAAATTTACAAAATGAAGAGTGATATATCAGAAGTTAAGAACTTGTATTAGATTAATGAAGCATGGGAATTTATTAATAAGCCACAAGGAATCTAACATAACCTCAGGCTCTAGTGGGTTTCACATGCTCATTCATGTGTTCACCTTTTCCACTGAATGTAACATTCCCAAAAAAATCAAACTCGCGAACCAAACACAGGTATCTCACATTCCGGGCATCAGATTCCGCCCTGTATAAGATATCACCTTGAACCAAACACTGCCTAAGAGTTTTTCTTTTTTACTTGTTTTAGAGACCAATGAAACATAGAATGCTTTTAATTGGACTGAGTTTAATCCTTGGTCAGATCAGATCAGACTTCGATAATAGTCAAATACGCGTAGAACAGATATACATAATACACCTGTCAAACCAGTTCATATTAATTAGACCAGACCCAGCTTAAACAGAGCCGTCTTTTAGGAGGCGCAATAGGTGCTTCGCACTGGGTCCCACTCTTAGTTGTACAATGTAGTATTAGTTATAGGTTGATTTTTTTAGACAATATCAAAAAGGTTGATTTTAACATAGAGTGTCACACTTCACTAAATGGTTTATGACATTTTTTTCCAAAACTAAAGAAGTTGAATTCATCATTATTAGATAATTAATACTTGCTTTTGTAAATATCAAATAATATTACATGTCAGACACAATAGTTAAATCATTCTTAGATAATCTAACGTGAATACAAATTAGCTAGGTCGAATAATGTTAGGGATCACTGTCCACTGAGTGCATTCTATAAATGGGCCTAGCCTTGACTCCTTGAGTGCATATTCTTCAACTCATTCTAACTACGTGATCCCAAAAGAAACATATTTTATTATAGTAAAATCATAATTTTACTTGTCATACTTCTTTTTAATTTTTAATAAAATTTAAAACAGTAAAATGAAATTAAAAAATAATAATGAAACGAAAACAAAACTCGAATAGGTAAAAGTATTAAAAATATTTAGGCATCTTCTGCCGCATATTGAGCTTCCCAACACCATCACCCCAACCGATGTTTATTCTGGGAAAGTTCCCGAAATAGGATTAAAACAGTTTGAATATTTTAAAATAGGATTGTCATGTTTTTTATTACCAAAATAGGAGTAATTACTGCCAAGTTTGGAAAATAATGTCATGTTTGAAGTCTGGTACTGCCAAAAAATGACAGTAATTAGTCCTATTTGGGAATTTTCAAACCTTTTTAGTCCTATTTTGGGTGATATTTTCATTAAGAAAATGTCATCTTACGTACTCCCTCCGTCCCTAAATAAACTTCCAACTTCCCTTTTTCGTCCGTCCCAATTAAAACTTTCACTTTTCCTTTTTGGTAAAGAATTTGTGATTCACAACAATTCTTACACATTTCTCTCTCCTCTGCACAACTGTTCACCACACAATACCCACTATCTTAAACTGTGTGCCCAACTCATTTGGAAGTTTTATTAGGGACAGGGATAGTAATAAATTACACCTTTCTTTCAAATGTCATATTGAATATGACATTTTTACTCTTTAAAATATCAAATTTTGCTTTCAAAACTACCATTAATTATTAAGATGATTTTTTTTGTATTCTGACATTTTTCCGGAAAACGAATGTGGCAGTGTAGGCAAGTGGTTGAGGTAATGGCAAAGGCTGGTATATTTTCATATTTTTTCATTTTATTTATTTTATGATATATTTTAGAAATAAGAGTAAAAATATTTTGGAATTCCAAAATAGAATTGTCATGTTTAAAGCCTGGTATTATCAAAACATGACAGCAATTACTTAAATTTTGGGAATAAAAACATAATAGTCCTATTTTGGAATTTCAAAATATTTTTACTCCTTTTTATGACAATTTTTTTATTAATATTAAAAAATTTATTAAAGATGTTTTCTTTTGAACTGTTTTCAGTCCCAGACCAGACCAGACTTCCGTAGTTATAAAATACACAGAGACCAAACGTTTAACAGACCAGACTAGTTCAGACCAAATCAGACCGGAATAGTTCAGATCAGATCAGATCAGACCAGACCAGCAAATTTCAATCCAAAAAACATCATAAAACATGACAAGGGATATCGAAGGTAAGATAGAAAGGTTCACTTGTACTTTATAAGTTTAAACTTTATACTCCCATTTTTACAAATTTATCTTCAAATTACCTATATAGGGAATTGCTCAATTGCCCCGAGACAAAAGCGTGGGAAATTAAGCGAAAGAAACCCTATTATTAACTTCGACCGCCTCCTTCCGAATTGCACTCCGATTTGAATACTCCTTCTAATCTCCATCTCCTCCTATATTTTAATATACTTCCTCAGGAATCGCATGGTTTAAATTCGTTATGGCCTCCCCATATTTAAGCCGTCGATTATTTCTGTAAATATTTTTACAGCACCAAAATAAAAGAATGCAGAACGACGACGAGGGAGGAAGAAACGCTCCAGCATGCGCTGCATGCAAGCACCAAAGGAAAAAATGCAAACCCGAGAATTGCGTTCTCTGGCCCCACTTCCGGTCGGACCGGATGCGGGAGTTCCTAGCGGTTCACAGAGTTTTCGGCATAGCGAACATGTCAAGAATGCTTCGGCAGCTCCGGAGCCACGAAGAACGGCACGAAGCCACCAAGTCTTTCACGTGGGAGGCCCGGGCTTGGGCGGAGGACCCGGTTCACGGTCCGTTCGGCCAGTTCAACCAGTTACAGCGAGAGAACCAGGACTTGAAGACGCAACTGTTGCAGCTTAGAAACAACGCACTTCAAATTTTTTCCCTTCCGCCGCCACAGCTGCCGCCTCCGTCGCCGTCATCTTCGGGAGGTACCAATAATATTCACATCTTACCGCATTCAAGGACTATATCTCGAGGTCAACATCAAGGTCAACTCCGGGAAAACCATATGACTGTTAATACTAACCGGTCTAACCCTAATAGTGATCAGTTGAGACAATATGATCTAATGATGTCTAATCCTATGTTTAGACCTTATTGTTTAAATAATAATAAGCAAACCCCAATTTATCGTCCGAATGATCCGGAACCAGTTCCGGTACTGTATCATCCTCCCTACAATCCAATCAGCCAGCGACCGGATAACCATGACTTCGCCGGAGCAAGCTTTCGAAGAGTTTCTAATAAGCATGATCAAGATCAATTGTTCGTATTTCCAACAAACCTTCCGATCATGCCCCCGAAAGGTGACGAAGATGATCTTGCTATGTACGGCTCGTTACCGAGAATTAACGAGGTGTAGAGCTAGCAATAATACTAATGGATCAGGGTATCGTAGCGGTTCTTGTTAAGAGTAATTAATTAATTACTCTATATGTTTGGGATTTTTGTGGACGTGTTGTGTTTTCTTATATATTGGGTGTGTTACGTTTTCTATATAGGAGCCGGGTGGATTAACTAATTACGAAGTAATTATTTGATTAGCCCAGCAACCTCATTTCTATATTCAATGATTCATTATCTCTTTGTTGCTGATGTACGTGAGTTTAGAATGAATACTATAAACATATACGTAGTATATGAGACACTCTATTGCATGTGTTTCTTCATTCTCTTGCTTGCTTAAATTTATTTAGACTTGATCAAGGACTGGGGTGATAACTAATAAGAGGAAGTATAATAGCTCAGGGCCTTTTAGTTTGTGTTTACCAAATATGGATGACTTCATATGCCTGTGAGATAGTGCCATGCGGGCATGCGGCCAATCGGTGGCTCAACGGAGTAGACCAATTTATACCAGATGTGTACCTTATAAGGATCTAATTGCTCGTCGGAGTTTATACGCAGTCATAATCCGTATAACTTATCAGAATCTAATTGCTAGTAAGAGCTTATAACAATAGAGCTAGCTTATACAGTATGTTCAATAAGTTATTTAATAAATGGTTTAAATACTCCAGAATAATAAGTTTATCCTACCAGTCTTGACCATCGATTATATCCTCAAGACTTGATTGAAGCTAAGCGTCGTTACATTAGTGGTAGTCAGACCAACTGCAAAAAATGATAAAGACTACAACTTTTGAGTTCTTTTCTCTTTGACTTCTTGGTCAGTACAACGAAAATTTCCTCAGAGACAAACAAATATTGCAGAATTACATAAAAACATAATAAGATAGATGAATACGTCAAGAATCTCTTGTGAAGAAGTTCCATGCCATTTATGCGTTCATTTTGTCTGCTGCGGTGACTCAATTTGCATTGTAACAGGACCATCATTAACCAAGTTCACCTTCCAACAAAAACAACCACAGTTCATCAGGCTATTATAATCAAAATTTGATTATGCATAGAGAAGAACCTCAGAATTCTATAAGATTGGAACCTCACCTTCATCATAGCGCCAAATATGCCATCTGTTTGATATAAAACCAATTTAAACTGGTAAGACTGTAAGAGAAAGATCAAAAATAGGAACCAAGTCAAGTACTACTAAAGAACAGCCACAAATTAAAGACCAAGTGTGACAAATGTCATGTATACTACACACAAGCATAATGGATTCTCATGTGGGAAGGAACCATGTTGATTACTTAGATGAAGTGTGGTAAGACATAATGAAACGCAATGTAAAGTATCCAAATGTATGTGTAATATAAATTTACACAAAAAAAATATTTGATTACTTTACTTAGTGTTGCATTTCAGCTTATCAAACATTATAATATTACATTGACTAAAGTACTAAACAAAAGGGGAGAGAGATACCTTTGACAGCATCTGGTTTGTAAGCTACTCTGAACTTTTCCAACACCGCTTCATAGAAGGGTTTTGCTTTATCAGGAGGCATTGCTACATGAAAGTCTGGCTTATTTCCCTTCAAAATCCCATATAATGTAAATTGACTCACTGCACAAGCCATATTCACATGAAATTTAAACCATTTGATGATGATCCCTAATCATTAACAAAAAATAGAAAGAGCAAAGGAAATACCTAATAGAATTTCATAATTCTTCTGAAGAACCTGCCATTGAAAACATATTCACCTTCATGCTATTAGTTTATAACCAAACAATTAACAAAAACGATACATTTTAGGAAGTGTCTTAAGTAACAATGATCTCCAGAAGTGCAAAAGATCTCCAATAAGCTACCATCTTGGAACTTTAAACGGGTTCTGAATGAAAGGAGTAATAGGAGGAAGTGCCTAGAGTGCATAGAATCAGACCATACTTTTATACAATACCTTGGTTTTTAACATCAATTTTCATTGCTAATGATACAAAGTAGCTAGGCTTTGACTGGAGCATCAAACAAAACCATCAAATAAACAAGCCTCATCAAAACCAAACCATTTCTATTAGCTTCAATAACTTGTATATTCTGAGTAATAATTGAGGACCTTTCCAATCAAAATATCATTTTTCGGTCGGTTGTTGGTTATCACATAATACAATGTATTAGTTATTCAGTTACAAGTCAGTTTTTATTGCTGGTTTCGGTCGGTACCGATAACCAACCCTAACTCACATATATTATACCCCATGGACATAAAGTAGACCCAACCCCGTGAGAACCCTAATTGTTATACTTCAGTACTTAACTGCCTTCACTACTCCACTTTCTTATTCTATTCAATGCCTTCACACCTTCTTCCAGGGGTTCTTCCTTTTGTCAGTTCTTCACTCTGTTTTTCCTCACTTTCTTCTATCTTAGTTGGTCCACGCCTCCATGCCTTCACCAACTGCTGTTAAATTCTGAATAGGTCAGTGGACATGAATCCCTCTTACAAATGTAATAGTGAATCTACAAACTCTCGAAATCATGAGCCCCTCTGAAAACACTTCTCTTTTTTCAGTTTTTAGATCATTTATTGAGTTATTGATTGTCATTCCATTCTGGTACATCTTGTAATTTTGAAATGAGAGTTATTTTGTATTTTCATATCATCTATCAGATTCTTTCTGCAGACTCTTTGGATTTGACCATTACTATGCTTTACTGATGCATGTAAGCATCTTTGAAGTTCATGTTCTGATTGATTGTTTTATGTACTTGTATCTAGGGATTAAGCTCTTAAATTTTTAGAAATGATGCATCAAGATTCAAGAATCTATAGAAGGTTGTGTATTTTGGTTTATGAATATACTGCATCGACAGAACCCAAACTGCAGTTTTTCTGTTGATTATAGTGATGCTTTCGGTCATGTACGGTCATTAGAGTCCTATTTTTTTGTCGGTTATTGGTCAGTAATTTGACAGTCCACCCCTGGTTCTTTGAAGTAATATTTTTGTATGGTATCTCCTTTAAGATAAGTGAATGTTCTCTGGTTCTGTCATAATGTTTTTTCCCTAACACGATTAAGTTGTAAGAACAATACACCACAGTGTACAAGTAAATATTAGCACTTTATGGCTTTGTTAGGTGAGGTGTTCCCTGACCCTCACCCGAAAACCCTCGGCCCCAAAACTAGGTCACTTTATTTTAAGTTAGCCTCAATCACTCTACTCAGAATACAAAACTCCTCACATAGGATAATTGAGTTCTTTTTCAAAATGAACACAGACAGACCTAAGGTTCAGGGTCGAGTACATCATAAACAGACCAACACAATGATTTCAAGTGGAATAAGGACAAAGTTTATGCTAGTTAACATCCACTACAATAAATATCTGAATATGAATTATGACCAGACAAAGATGCTTTTTTTGCTTCAGTAACCTACGGCTAGACACAACGAGCATTTTATAAATCTTGAAACATATTTACACAGTTACGGATGGTAATGAATAGAATAATTAACGGATAAAGAAGAGGTAGAGAAATAATTACACTTTGATCCCATGTTTTCCCAGTCTCTTTGTTAGGAAATAATCTCATGTTCAGCACTTTACGGCATCTGGTCATTACAATCAAGTTAAAACAAATTAATTCTGGAATACTGGACATGAAGATATGAACAGTACTTGCGGAACTGCTAATTACTGAGAAAATCTGGATCGCGTACATATAATCAGCATCGGCGTCAACGTCCGACTCATGAATTCCGATGAGGACTAAGAGGCCCGGCCCAATAGTCGACACAAGTTGGCCATCCACCTGCAAATTTCCATAGCTACGCGGGTTAGCACAGCGGTTCCAGAATTAGAGATGAGAGTAAGAGGGGACTTAGGGAAGGAGAGGTCGCAGGGCATAACACGGACTTCAACACTGGCAGATGCCACTCTCTGAACTGTGGCCCTCATCCGTGAGTTTGAGAGGAATCGACAGTGGATTAGTATACAAGTATCAAATACAAGGTTCTGCTAGGCCGTAGCCAATCGGACGGTTCCCGGTTGAATTTTTTGATGAAATTTTTTGACCATCTTCTTCATTACCCATATCAAATTTCAACTAAAAATTAAATCGGGAAGGCAGTCAAATGATTTTCCGAAATGTACTGCGTTATTTAACTGCGCAGTTATCTTCAAAAAATCATTTGACTGCCTTCCCAGTTGAATTTTTAGCTGAAATTTGGTATGGGTAAACTACATTTAATGAAGAAGATGCTCAAAAAATTTCATCAAAAAATTCCACCGGGAACTGCTCGAATTGGCGACGGTCGGGCAGAACCTCCTATATAAGGGGCTAATTGAACACTTTAAGTTAGTTCATGTACCTATTTGACCCTTTAGCCGAAACATAACAATAAATCTGGAGCATTATTTCTAAGAACTAGACTAGACCATAGGATTTAACATCTAATATCTTTAAATATGTCTAAAATCCATAAAGTGAATTAAAAACGCGACATCCAATGGCGTATTCAGAAAATATTCTTAATGGGGCGAAATTTGGAAATTTGCATTATAAACACGATATTTTAAAATAGACAATAAATAATGATTTTTTATTGAGATATTACCCGAAATAGGACTAAAAAGGTTTGAAAATTCTAAAATAGGACTCCCATGTTTTTATTCCCAAAATAGGACTAATTAATGTTATGTTTTGGCAGTACCAGACTTCAAAGATGGCAATATTTTCCAAACTTGACAGTAATTACTCCTATTTCGGGAATAAAAAACATGTCAGTCCTATTTTGGAATTATCAAACTATTTTAGTCCTATTTCGGGAACTTTACCTTTTTTATTCAACAAAAACATTAGTATAAAACATTTCATTTCGTCCAAAAATCAGTTTCACATTCACTACGTGATTGCTTAAGAATTAATAAGGGGGAGAATAAGGGAATCTTCCTTATAATAGACCTTCCTCATTAATCCCTCATTCTGAAGGGATGTCAATATTTGACAAAAAGTTTTTATAGCAGATTAATAAGGGATGTCCTTCCTTATTTATTGATACTGATGTGGCAATGAGCCTATAACAAATTAATGACGCCCGGTCCCTCATATAATGTGGAAAGAATTGCTGCATCACAAATTAGATTTATTACGGGGTTATTTTGAAAAAAACAATGGGGGCAAAATCTAATTTAAAATAAGTATGGGTGTCTGTTCATATTTTATCAAATACCCCAACAAAAATCATCTATCTTACTCTCCTTTCAACCCTAATCGCAACGTTCTGAAGGGTGCCGCCGCCTTCCTTTCATCTGAATCCTCACCTCGCCTCATCTTCTTCAGTCATATTTCATGTTTTCCGTTCACGGTTGATTCTACACCGCCGTTGCCTATACCTTCGTCTGAGTAGCATCGGATAAATTAACTCGCACAGCAACCGCCCCGCGCCGCGTAAATCATAATTATATGTATACGAGTTCATCTTCCTCGATGCAGCACTAGGTATGAAATTCCTTTAATTTACTTCTTTAACCAACTTAGCGTTAGACATGGGGTGTTGTTCTCTATGTATCCGAATCTGGTGTGTATTTGTAGTACTAATATTACTAACCAGTTTAGCTTTTTTTAAAGCAGTGATATGATTTTTGTATACTCCGTATTCTGAATGTTTTGGATTAGCAATTGAAGTTCATAAGTTTGTGCTGAACTTAACAATTTCTTCTCTAATTAAGTATTATTGTTGTTGAATGGACTGAAATCCTTTGCTCAATGTAGGATATTTCCTCATAATTGGGGTTCTCAACGGATTTCTTATTCTTTTTTGTGTTTTTTCAAGTGATATGGAAGAGATTTTATTACCTTGAATCATCAATCTTAAGCCATGTTCCAGTCAAGATTATTGATTGATTATTAATGACATACTATTTCAATCACACGAGGGATTTTGTTATTTTTGCGCAGAATTGTTCTTAAGATGTGTATGCAACAGATGATAACATATGCTACACACATTGAGGTATTATGATTTATCCAGAGTATATGCTTATTCTTAAACTGTAGTATTCTGTTGTGTTTTAAGAGTTCTCATCATACTTATTTGTAATATTTTCAGCATATATGTCAAAGAGGTTTATGACAAGTAACTGTTACAAGTAAAGATTGGCCGGGGAAGATGCTAGGATGCTTGAGTACAACCACATCTCTTTTGAGAAGAGCAGATAAGCACAAGATGGTTGTAGTCAGTGATTTGCTTCAACAATATTAGTTGGGAATTCTTTTGTAATCTAAATGTAATGATGGATGATTATTTGAATGATAATTATTTTGTATTCATATTTTTTGACAACTATTGAACTCTGTTCTGTATAGCACAATTATTTTATTTTGTTGATTTGAAAAATTACCGTTTTCAAGTAAAAGTTATTCATAATAATAATAATAATAATAATAATTTTAAAACAATTGCTTTTCAAGAATATAACAATTATCTTATGTGATAATATCGTTAATAACGGAATTGCCGTTATTAATCCCTTATACAGGGTAAGCAGTATAACTCTTCCACGTAGGAATTATATAAGGGCCTATTGGCTATTAATCCCTTATATTGGTTATAAGGGAATTGGTCCTTATTGTTCAAGTAATAAGGAGCATTTTAATAAGGGATTTAATAAGGACTCATTCCCTTATTAGTTATAAGGAATATATAAGGGATCCTTCCTTATTTCAATATATTCATTGGCGTAGTGATTTTTTAGAGTTTTGTATGATTAAAATTTCAATTTGTAAATTGTAATAAGAAACATTAAAAACTCTAGGAGAGTGCGGCGGCCTCCCTACTTATCTCCTTCTGACTTATCCAACAATGGAGAAGATTGGAGTGGCTTTGTGGGCTTCGTACACAATTTAGGTGTGCTTTAGTTGTTTTTAATCATTGTTAGTTTTTTCTTGTATTGTTCTGTGCGGCTGAATTTTCTGTGGTCGAGGGTTTGGTCTGTTTCGTTTGTGAATGTGTTTTGGTTTGTGATCGTGTGTTTCGCAACTTCTTCTCTATCTCGGATGTGGCCTGGTGTTCATTTTGCTACCACCAATAGAGAGCTTAAATCAGGCTTATGGAAGGATGTCAATTGAGCTTGACTAGAGCGGTGGTCTGGTGTTTGAGTCAGGTGCCTTGGAGAAGTCAAAAAACAAGGCGGTGGTGCTCCCGAAACAGCACCGCCTAAAACACTAATAGGCGAGATGATTCCTTTGGAGGTGACTGATCAAACCTCTTCTTAGCTTCCTTCCCGGAGGCTGGTGAAATCATGATGCTTCCTTTGGAGGTGGCTGGACAAACCTCTTCCTTCCCGATGGATGGTAAAATCGGAATGGCAACTTTTAAAGGTGGTTGATCAAACCTCTTCTTCCTTGTTGATGGCTGGAAAAACTAGGGGTTATGATTCTACTTGTTCTTTCCAGTTTAATAACCGATACACTTGTAATTTCCATTTGTATGTGTGTGTTTTTAGTTAGTTTTTGTTGTTTGATACTTTGGAAATTACACACTTTTGGTGTAATAGTTATGTTTTTGTAATATTTGTAATTTGTTTAGATTAGTTCCATTCTGAGCTCAAACAGGTCCAAGATCAATTTAATGATCATTGGTGAAGGAAGGTGCAAGAGTACAAGACAAAAAGAAGGAAAGTTCCTGATTTTAACCTGTACCCGGTCGAGTATAACCCCTTACTCGATCGGGTACCAATTGGATTCTCAATCAGATCAACCAGGAAACAAGGGACGTGCAGGGGAAGATTTGGCCACGATCAGTTGTCATACCCGATCGGGTACACCGACACACCCGATCAGGTATACCTATAATTTATACCCTGATTTCGATCGAGTATGGTTCGGATTTAAGTTTCTACATATACTCGATCGGGTACCTATACATACCCGATCGGGTATACCTTCTATTTTACCCCGGAATCGATCGAGTATACCTCGAAACTAAGGTTTTTACACAAACCCGATCAGGTACCTTATTTGTACTCGATCGGGTACCCGAGCTACACCCCCAAAAGCCTATAAATACACCCCACCTTCCTTCACAATTGGGGGACCAATTCATATACTCTTTTAAGCTCAGTCTAGATAAGTTCTTTCTTTATATTTTTCATCATGTTTAGTCTCCAAATGAGGAGCTAAACTCTTCCATCTTGGTTTTGCTACTTTGAAGCTTAATGAATTGTAAGTTGTGAGTTATTTTCTTTAATCTTCTTCCTTGAATATTAATTAATTCTTATTCCTATTACATATTAATATTTTGAGTATTACTTAAAGGATCAACTAGTTTTGTTTCATATATTAATCAATACTAGAATCGGTCGATTAATACGCTTGTTATTAATTCGATCCTTTCACGGTAGTAAACTTGGGTTGTTAATGCATGCGTCTCATGGTTAATAACCTAAGGGGAATTAATTATATTGATTAAACCGATAAACCGCTTGTGTTGAGGTTATCAATCTCAATCGTTTTCATCTCTATTTTATTGCTACTATCGAGTGAATATATGGCGCGTGTTCTATATTAACTCGGTAGTAAGTTTTATTAATGAACGCGTCTCGTTATTAATAACTACCCTCGATGAATTGGATATACTCCTCGATTGAGTATTCGAGAGGAAGATAGTTAAAGATATAACCGGGAACGATGAACATTTCATTAAGTGGATAAAAGCAAAGCCAAGTCTTCTTCTCATTAATTAAACCACATAACTCGTTCATCTTTGTGTATAATTTAAGTTCATAAACCAATCATAAAAACCCCCTTTGTTACTTATTTCTAATTCTATAAAAAGAGAAGTGTTCCTTTCCCTGTGGATACGAACCTTACTACACTATACTACGTATTAGTGTCGTATTGATATTTATTTTGAGTGCATACACGACAAAGAGCACGTCAATAACCTTAGTTTTAATTTCTGTCAATTTATTTTAGTAAC